GCTCCGCGCAGATTTCTTGGATCCGCGCCGGGCCCCCCCAGCGGCGCCTTTGGCGCCGCCCCTGGCGCGCTCCGCGCGCCGGGGGGGGGGGGGTCCAGCGTGGATCCAAGAAATCCGCGCGCAGCGCCAAAAGTTTAGGTTTTTAGCATTTTTTCTTTTTCTAGTTAAGTCGGCGGGCATGTCCCTCTACAGGAGGAATGTTGAAACATAGTCAAAAATGATAGAAAATAGCCTGGGGACGATTTCTCGAACATTTTCGAGCATGTTTGGGCATTTTTTTGTTGGGACTCTTCTTTATGATTCTGCGCCCAAGAGCCGCCTGTAGGGAGACGTGCCCGACCCAAGAGCAGAGAGCCTGGCGCCCTCGAGTGGTAGAGAGAGCGACCTCGAGCAGAGAGAGCTGGCGCCCTGCAAGTCGCCAGGCAAGTCTCGGCACCAGGCAAGTCCCGGAGGCCGCCCTCCACCCCTCCCCAGAGCCTATCCCCCGTCCTCCGCCCCTCCTGCCCCGCATCCTCCTCCTCCTGCCCCGCATCCTCCTCCTCCTCCTCCTCCTCCTCCTCCTCCTCCTCCTACTCCTCCTCCTCCTCCTCCTCCTCCTCCTCCTCCTCCTCCTCCTCCTCCTCCTCCTCCTCCTCCTCCTCCTCCTCTCTCTCTGGCGCTCGCAGCGGTGGGCGCCGGGGTGGGCGCCCCTCGCCCCGGCTTCCTCGCGGGGCGGTGCGCCCTGGGCGGCGGCAGCTGGAGCGAGTGGGCCAAGGCTCGGCTGCTGCTGGCGTCGAGTCGGGCGTGTCCCTCCACAGGAGGAATATCCCAGAAGAATCAACAGAATAGTCAGGGGACGATTTTTTGGAGCATGTTTTGACCATGTTTGATGTTTTTTTTTGGACAGAGTATTTTTGACTTTTCGTCCAAAATCCGCCTGTAGGGGGACACGTCCGACCTAATGCTGGCGCTTTTCGGCAGCTCCCGGTCGTTCGGCGCATACCGCCGGCAGGACTGGTGCCCACGCGGCTCTCGCGTGCCAGTGCGCCGCTGTGCTCAGGCCTCCCGCCGCGACGTCTGCCCCTTGCCCTGCAGAGAGCAGGCGCATGCGTGCGGTCGTGCATCAGCGTGGCTTCGCATCTCTTACGCTGTTTGCTCACGTGGCCCCAGCAGCCTTTTTGCTGTTGTGCTGAATGCGTGGGCGGCTTAGGATCACGGAGGCCCCGTGGTAATGTCAAGGCTGGGTCATCGAAGCGTTGACGTCTGCACGTGCGAGACGCAAGGTCCCAGACTGCGGACATTTGGACTCTTTTCGGAAGACTGTTTTTTTTACCCACCGCACCAACAGTTGTGTACTACACGTCTTTGCTTCTCTATTGCGTCTTGCAGGTTGGGCCGCACTGCTAAGCAGGGCGCCACTTGGGACAAAAGAGCGCGATGATCGGAGCGTTGATGTCTGCATGCGTTCTATGCCTCACCTGCTCCGTAAATCGAATACGCCACGGGCACCAAAGTTGTGTCGCGTGTGCCTGGTGCTTCGCATTGTCACGATTGAGGACGCGTCGAGGTGCGACAGAAACTAAAGCATGCATCTTTGAACCAGTTCACAGAGCCACGGAACGGACATGCCAGGGTGCAACGCCCGATGACTCAAACGAGTCGTACCATGCAAATGGGGTGACCAAGACGCTGACAGGCTTCGAGGCCTGCAGGTGGCCATGGGGTAGCTTGTTTTTTTGGGTGACTGTCTCGTGAACTCGGACGGGTTACGTGGCCCAGCTTTCGAATGTGAGTTTGCTGCTAGACATGCGAAGCGATCACCAGAGGTCCGCCAACGGACCTTTCGTGACTACGAGAGGAGAAGCCGCGTGACTTGCCGGAACTAGATGAACAAGTAATGTATGCAATGTTGTGTGTGCTCCAGGTCCTTGCGCTGTCTGGTCCTGTATTCTGCTGTGCTTTGTTGTGCTGTGGCTGTGCAGTGCTGCGCTTTGCTGTGTGGATGTATGTTGCTGCGTTGTATAGTCGTACTGTTTTGTTTCGTGCTGTGGCGCCCATGTCTCATACATGCGATACTGGCCCATGGGGTCCTGGGGCCAGCCCCCACCAGGGCCCCCCATGGTACAGTAAGTCACCCCTTCCCAGTCTGGGCCCTCTCCTGGCTCTCACGAGAGGATCCAAACAATTGCGAAGATGGTCATATTCAGCGCCAAGATGTTCCAGGAGGGCTCCCAAACGTTTTCGGAGAGCCCATGAGGGCCCGAGAGGCTTCGATAGTGCTCCAAGACGGCCCCAAGAGGCCGCAGGAGAGTCCCAAGCGGCGGACCTCCAGGTCGCTACAATGAGTTCACAACCAAAGGAGCTCTTCAAGTTTTTGATGTTCCCAGAACAGTGCTAGCGTCTAGGGGTTCTCAGCTGTCTTGTTGCCGCCTCGTTCCCTGCCTCGTTGCTGCCTTGTTGCCGCCTCGTGCGCTCGGTGGGTCGGGCGAGGTTACGCCTCGTTGCCGCCTCGTTGCCGCCTCGTTGCCGCCTCGTTGCCGCCTCGTTGCCGCCTCGTTGCCGCCTCGTTGCCGCCTCGTTGCCGCCTGGCCGGGCGAGGTTTCGCAACGTGGCCGCCCGTTGCCTCCTCGTTGTCGCCTCGTGCGCTGGGTGGGTCCGGCGAGGTTGCCGCCTCGTTGCCGCCTCATGCGCTGGGTGGGTCCAGCGAGGTTTCGCCACGTTGCCGGCCGTTGCCGCGTCGTTGCCATTTGGTGCGCTGGGTGGGTCTGGCGAGCTTTCGTCACGTTGCCGCCCGATCCCTGCTCGTTGCCACCTCGTGCGCTGGGTGGGTCTGAGGAGCTTTCGCCACGTTGCTGCCCGTTGCCTCCTCGTTGCAACCTTGGCCTTTGGGTGGGTCAGGCGAGGTTGCCGCCTCGTTGCCGCCCGTTGCCGCCTCGTTGCCGCCTCGTACCGTAGGTGGGTCCGTCGAGGTTCCGCCAAGTTGCCGCAAGCTGCCGCTTCGTTGCCACCGGGTGCGCTGGATGGGTCCGTCGAGGCTTCACCACGTTGCCGCCCTTTGCCGCCAGTTGCCGCCCCTTGCCGCCCCTTTGCCGCCTTGCGTGCTGCGTGGGTCCGTCGAGGTTTCACCACGTTGCCGCTCGTTGCCGCCTCGGTACCACCTCGTGCGCTGGGTGGGTCTTGCGAGGCTCCACCCCGTTGCCGCCCGTGGCAGCCCCGTTGCCGCCTTGCGTGCTGCGTGGGTCCGGCGATGTCTCGCCAAGTTGCCGCCCGTTGCCGCCTCGTTGCAATCTCGTGCGCTGGGTGGGTCTGGCGAGGTTTCGCCCCGTTGCCGCCGCACGTTTCCGCTTCGTTGCAGTCTCTAGCGCGCACCACGTTTATTCTCTCTTCAAGTAAATCTGTTCCACTATGCCCCCCTCCTTCGGTTATCCCCTTGTTTCGTATTGCAATTTACATCGGACTCTGCTGCCTCGTTCACCTGGCTCATGAAATTACACCATCCGAGTCAACCGAGTATCGCGCTCCTCATTCCTGTCACATAGTACCCTGCGTGCGTACACGTTCACCTTAAACAGATGATGTTTCAATGTTCCTTTGCCACAGGTGGCACAATGTCCACACCTTTGCGTATATACCGAGTTCATACCAAACGCATGACGTTAGCAATCGTTGCAACAGAGCTGTATCTGGCATGCATAGTTGTTCTGCGACAAATCTGGCATAATTTTTATCTGCGAGCACGTGCTGAAATCAAACGACAACCATACAGTTTTGCCAATCTCGTTCAAAACCCGTATTCCCTCATCTCACCAGCGGTGCATCCGCGTTGATCTAGCATGCGCCCAGGTCGCGAATCCCAATCAAACAAAACCATGCGCGCCACATGCGCGCGCCGCCACGCGCGCGTGTCGAACTCCTTCCGCAACAAGTGGTTTTCGACGCATTTCAAGGTCGAGCTTTTCAACAACATATGATAATACACTGTTTTCAACACCTTGTGAGAAACAAAGGCTGCCAGATTTCTGGAATTCCTGTGCGCGCGCAATTCCTCACCATCACCCTCATTAGCGCCAGCGTATCATTGCTGTCATCCTCAAAGTCAATCGCCGCCGTTGCCGCTATCTTCGGCACACTCACTTTTATCATCGACACATGGATCTCATCATCGTCCTCGTCGTCACCAGTGTCGGCGCCGTAGTCGGCCGTGCCGTCGTCACCGTCATCATCGCCACCACCATCGCTATTATCATCATCATTGCTGCCCTTGTCGACGTCATCATGATACCGCGCCCGCCCGAGTCACCGACCCGCACTGAAAAAATTACCCCCCCGCCAGCGCGGGCTTTGAACCGCGCTGGGAAGTTCCCATTGGCAAGCGCCATCGCAGCCGTAGCAGTTGAGCCAAGCCAGCTGGTCGCCCAGCGCGCGAGCTTTTGCGCGTCAGCGCGGCCGCAGAAGCGCGCTGACACGTGCCCATCGGCAAGTGTAATCTTGACCGGATGGGTGTTGCCACACAAGTTGCGGGTGGGAGGTCGTGGTGTTTGTGCGAGCCATGGAGTGTTGACCAAACACGAAATTAAATACTTGCACCACATAGTTTGCACCACATAGCCTGCACAGCCACATTGCAATGACTTATTCTGCTGGCTAACCTTTTTTGAACGTGGCTCTCGGAGGGCCTCGGAGGAGCCACAGGAACCCCTTAAGTAGCCCCCACGGGTCCTGAGGGGAGTGCGGTCCTGTTAGGATCCAAAGTGTTTCCCTCTCATTGGCCGGGTGTTCCTAGACGTGCCCCTGGCCGAAGGCGCCCCCAGGATTTCCGTGGAGGCGTCCACGGCCTCCAGAGCACCCCTCACGAGGCCCAGAGGGACCCAGGGGCTCCAAAATTGAGCGAAAAGCGTGGGGTACCTGGGCCAGGGGCATTTTTAGCAGCCCCCGACTTGTGTGCTGCCAGCTGCGGAACTGTCGGCACTTTTGTGAGTCTCCCGGGTGGTTCGGCGGAGTGCGGTGCCACGGGGATCCAACGTACGGTCGGACCACGGTAGCGAATTCGAGGTCGGTGAGGGTACCCTCATGCTCTTCGTGTTTGCTGGATGTTCTTTTGCATCCTGGGGAAGGGTACCCTCGAGTGATCTTATGGTTTGGGGTGCTTTGGTCGGGGGAGGGTCTCATGTTCTCGAAAGGTATTCTTCTGTCCTATGTCGGGCCGTATTTCCCCCCATCTCTGGGCGTTGCTGTCTGATGGTCCTGCTCCTTCTCGTCGTCGTTTTGCGCTCCACCTCCTTTCCGTTAGAATTGCTGCAAGTGGGTCCCGTGGCCAGTGTGGCCTGTAGCGCCGTGTCTTCCAGCATGTTTCGGATCAGAGTCGCGGCCCTTCCGCTTGCATTCCTGTTCCCTCCAGCGCTTTCTGTTTCAGTTCTCCTCCTGGTCGTGCGGTGAGCTTTCTGATCGTACGTTATTATACCCGTCCGTGTCGATTTATCTTGTGTCGTGTTTGTGCACCCTAGTTCCGTACTCGTGTCAAGCTGCATCTTTTACGCCCACCTATTCAGTGTGTTCGCAGCGGCATTTCATACCTTGTTCAGCCCACCTTCGCCTTCGAATGATATTTTTCAGTAATGGCATCTAGACAGTCAGTCAGAAGGTTTTGGCGACCCTGGTGCCATCGCCGTCGTGTAGTTTAGAAGCTGTCTTCATAATCGAACGTGTACATTCGTGCAATGTTCTCACACTTGGTGGTTTTGTCCGGAGTACAGTATTTCCATGACATTGCTCTGCTTTCACTCCTGCTATGTCTTCTTTTCCTTCGCCATCTTCGCTAACTTTAGCTCGTATGGCTAATCCATCATCCAACTGCCTGCCACTCCGCCCCGCCCTGTTGTCCTACTCTGCAGATCATGCCGTCCATACCCCCCTCGACCATACCGGCGTTCAGTTCCTTCCGCCCCGCACCTCCTCTCTCTTTTTCATACCTTCCTCTCGTTCACCTGCCCTCCCAGCCTTTGTTTCTCCTTCCCTCCTGTCCTCCTCACTTCCACTTCGTCCCTTTGAGGTCTCAGACGAGGAAGACGACGATGACGAGGGTAACGACGAGGAGGAGGAGGAGGAGGAGGAAGCGCAGGCGTTCCTCTGTTTTCCTCTGTCCCCCCTTCCTGGTCGGCAGGAGGAAGGCAAGCCAGAGCATCTTCGAGGTGTCATCGAGGAGCCGCCTTGCTCGCTCTGTGTAGGAGGAGGACGAGGGGGAGGGGGAAGATGAGGGGGACGCTTCGTTTTCGTTCTCCTCGTTGCTGGCTTGAAGGCATCCTGTGCAGGAGAGGGGGGAACGGGGGGTAGACAACGTGGGAGGGGAGGGATATGGGACGGGTGGGTCACAGGAGAACGGCTGGAGTAGCAGGAGCAGGAGGAAGAGGAGGAGCTGATGATGATGATGATGATGATGATGATGATGATGATGATGATGATGATAATGGTGATGATGATGATGATGATGATGATGATGAGGAGGAGGAGGAGGAGGATGATGATGATGATGATGATGGTGGTGGTGGTGGTGGTGGTGATGATGATGATGATGAGATGGGGATGGTGGTGGGGTGGTGGTGGCCGTGATGATGATGATGATGATGATGATGTGATGATGGGACGATGATGATGATGTGATGATGATGATGATGATGCTGATGATGATGAATGAGATAATGATGATGAGGATGATGATGATGGATGATGAATGGGTGATGATATGATGCTGATGTGCTGATGATGATGATGCAGATGATGGATGATGATGATGATGATGATGATGATGATTGACGATGAGACGATGAATGATGATGATGATGATGATGATGATGATGACGATGATGATGATGATGATAATGATGATGATGATGATGATGATGGTGATGATGACTGTGATGGTGATGATGATGATGCTGATGCTGATGCTGATGGTGATGACGATGATGATGCTGCTGATGATGCTTACGATGATGATGAAGCTGATGCTGATGCTGATGCTGCTGCTGATGATGATGATGTTGCTGCTGCTGCTGATGATGATGATGATGATGCTGTTCATGATGATGGTACTGCTGATGATGATGCTGCTGCTCATGTTGATGATTATGATGGTGATGCTGATGATGACGACAATGACGATGATGACGACGACGATGATGATGCTGATGCTGCCGATGATTATGATGATGATGTTGATGATGCTGATGGTGATGATGCTGATGCTGATGATGCTGATGCTGATGCTGCTGATGATGATGATGATGATGATGATGATGGTGATGATCATGATGATGATGATGATGATGATGATGATGATGATGATGATGATGATGATGATGATGATGATGATGATGATGATGATGATGATGATGATAATAATAATGGTGATGATGATGTGAGGACAGTGGTTATGAGAGTAGAAGGAAGTGATTTGCAGCTTTCTCGGACGGGGCCCGCCCCGCGCTGTGCGCCGGGCGCGCTTGCAGTTGATGCGTCGGGGCCCGCGTCCAGGGCGCGGGCGTTCCACGAACTTGCCCTTGGATTTGAGGCCTGCTCAATGCGCATTCCCAGCGGCGAGGAGGCCGGGACAGAGACGGCGGAGGATCCAGAGCCGGTCCCCTGGGTCGTCATCCTTGACAGCACCCAACGCGGGCCGCCCAGGGGGGCGGCAGGTGCCGAACCTGTGGTTTGGGCCACCCTGGCCGCGGGCAATCACCTGCTACGCAGTCTGGGACCCACGGGTTCGAGCGAGGACCTCGTCGGGGTGCACAGGAGGCGCGCTCGCGTGGTACGCGAACGTTGCTTGGCTCGGCGATGGCAGGTACACTAGCGGGCGGGATCGCATGCGTCGGTTCCCGTCACTGGGCGAGGCAGTCGACAGGTTCCTCGACGAGCATCGGGAATTCACATACACAATCAAGGTCTTCGACTTGACCAGGTCCCAGTGGCGATGCCACCATCAGGTGCGTTGCAGCAAACGTGGGACGTCCGGCTGCGTTCGTGGCTGCTCGAGCTGCCGGTAGCTGGGGCCCGAGCCGCCGGCACCGCGGCGCGGTGCGAGGTCCGCGTCGTCGGCGCCAAGTTCGTGAAGCTCGACGGCCCCGTCGCCGTCGACTCCCTGGCCCACGACGACCTCTGCGACCTCGAGCTAGAGGAGCTCCTCATCGTGGTACCCGCCGTCTGCCTCCCTTACGAAGCCGGCTCGCTTGCCTCCTGTCTCCGTAGACGATGTCTCGGTGAGGTTGTGGACGGCCCTTGGCGAGGAAACGCCAGCATATGTGGCCTGCATGAAGGTCTCGCCCGCGTTCTTGGCGAGACTCACCGAGAGCTGCGCGGAGGACGAGGTGATCGAGTTCTTCGACTCAGCTGGCGGGTCTGCTCAGCCGGGCGCTGTCGAGCTGGCCGATCTCGCCCCGCAACCAGACGACTGGAACATAACATCGGGATCCTTCTCCGACCCGTCGCGTTCCCCGACCGCCCCGCGGGGGGATCTGGGGCGCGTCGGCTTTGAGCTTTCCGTCGGTGGGCAGGTCGATGAGGGAGGTACCTCACCGCCGACGAGCACGATGGCGAGAGCATGGGGGAAAACGAGGTCGACGCAGCCCGCGAGGCTGCCGCCCAAGAGTGGGCAGGTCGGCCACGTGGCGCCTACGTGGCGGGCAGCCTGGGTGCGCATGGAGAGGCGCTCCTGGCGGGTCTGGAGGACCCGTGGTCGTGCCCGCCAGTCGCCCTCCCCATCGGCGGGTGACGCTGCCGCTGGCCGCGCCCGCGGAAAGGCCCACGCCCGCCGCTCCTCCCACGGCGGGCGCACGCGCGGGGCGCGCGGCGAGGCAGGGGCCCGCGGCGAGCAGCGCCAGGAGGGCCGCGACCTCATCGGCGCGTCAACGCGACGCGCGACGATCTTCAGAGCGCCCTCGGGAGCTTCAATCACGAACTGTTGGGGGTCATCGGCGGTCAACTCAGGGGTTTCTCGAGCCAAGTTGAGCAGGTGGAGGAGAGAAACATGGAGGCCCGTGGCCTTGCTGCTGCGGCCCCCCCTTGCCTCCTGCTGCGGGGTCGCTCTTCCAGGCGGGGCCTTCTGCGAGCGTGCTGGCGCCTGCCCCCTTTGCCCCGATCAGATCCCCCCACCGGAGCTCGCCCGCGGCGCCGCCCAGGACAGCGGCTGAGCTTCTGGGGGCGCGGCCCGCCCCAGCGCCTCCCCGGTCCAGGGCGGCAGGGGAGGCCTTGGCGACGTCGACCTCAGGACCCTCGTCGAGGCCGGCGGCCGCGACGTAGACAAGGCTTTCCAGCTGGCGATGCTGCAGGCGCTGGGGGTCGGCGGCTCCGAGAAGGAGCCCGCCTAGGACCGCCTCCTTCGGGTGCGCGGCCTCGAGCTCCGGAGGGGCGGGCCCAGTGGCCAGGATCTAGGGTGCCATAGGGGCAGCAGGGCTCCTGGAGTTCAACAGGGCCATCGAGCGCGAACCGCAGAGGTGGTCTGCCCGCGTCGCCACCGCGGTCTTCACCGAGCTCGGCTGCGACTCCGCCGGAATGCCGAGGAGCACGGCGATCCATGGCACGCAGAAAATCAGATTCGGGCGCCTCGAGGACCACGTGCGCTTCTGAGAGATGGTTGCGTCCCTCCACGCGCTGCGCAGGTCTCAGCAGCGCGACCTCCTCGGCGCCCAGATCGGCCAGTTTCTGAAGGCCACGCGGCAGTCAGTGAATGCGAACGGCTCTTGGGGACTGGTCTGGCTGATCACGCGGCTCCCAGGCCATAGGCCCAAAGCGGGTCTGGCGGCGAGAGGCCTCGCGTGCCCAGCGAAATTCGAAGCCTCGGTCGCCTACTTGCGGGGGCAGGCGCTCGAGAGCGCCCCCTCACGAGAGGAGGGGGGGTGCCGCCGAGGACCGCGCCGGTGAGGGCCGCGTTTGGGACGAGAAGCTGGCGCCGCGGAGCACGGCAGCGTGCTCCTTCGCCTGGCCTCTAGGGACGATGGCCTCTCCGATGGGGACATCGTTGCGTGGTGGGAAAGGTCGCAGTTCGCGCCGCAGAACCCAGCCCGTCGCGCATGCGGCGGTGGAAGCTGAGCGCGCCCGCGCACGGCAGCGCGCGGCCGTGGCCGGGTGCGCGGCGGCCACGGGGAAGGAACAGTTCCCCGAGTTTTGCCGTCAGCTGCGCCAGTCGTGCTTCGACGAGGAGATGTGCGCCGAGCACTTGACCTGCGCGCAGGCAGCGGGCCAGCGCCGCGCGGACAGTGAATGTCCGCGCCAGGCAGAGGCCACGCCTGAGGGCGAGGAGAGCGCCACCTTCGCCATCTACCCTCGGTGCCAAATCTTGCAAACTGTTGATGCTCGTCGTCGCCGTTTGTTTGTTTTGTTTTTTTTTGTGTGTGAGGGGGAGGAGGAGGGGAAGGATGGGAGGGGAGGCGGAGGAGGCAGGGAGGAGGAGGAGGAGGAGGAGGAGGAGGAGGAGGAGGAGGAGGAGGAGGAGGAGGAGGAGGAGGAGGAGGAGGAGGAGGAGGATGAGGAGGAGGAGGAGGAGGAGGAGGAGAGGAGGAGGAGGAGGAGGAGGAGGAGGAGGAGGAGGAGGACGGAGGAGGACGGAGGACGGAGGAGAAAGTAGGAAGAGGAGGTGGAGGATGAGGAGGATGAGGCGGAGGAGGAGGAGGAGGAGGACTGATGCGGAGGACTGAGGAGGAGGAGAAGTTGGAGGAGGAGGCTGAGGAGGGGGATGATGATGATAATGATGACGATGATGATGATGATGATGGTGATGATGATGATGATGATGGTGGTGGTGGTGGTGGTGATGATGATGATGATTGTGGTGGTGGTGGTGGTGATGATGATGCTGATGATGCTGATGATGCTGATGTTGCTGCTGCTGATGATGATGAGGATGATGATGGGGAGGTGAAGGAGGAAGAGGATGAGGAGGAGGAGGAGCAGGAGGGGGCGGTGGCGGCGGCGGCTGAGGCGGAGGCGGAGGCGGAGGAGGAGGAGGCGGAGGAGAAGGAAGAGGAGGCGGAGGAGGAGGAGGAGGAGGAGGAGGAGGAAGAGGAGGACGAGGAAGAGGAGGACGAGGATGATGATGAGGATCAGGATGAGGATGAGGATGATGACGATGATGATGATGATGATGATGATGATGATGATGATGATGATGATGTTGATGATGAGGATGAGGATGATGATGATGATGATGAT